GCAAGTTAACGTTAACATCTGAGCTCCCCGTTTCCCAGCGCTGTTGGTTAAAGCTTGGCTTCGACTCAAGTAGTCTTAGCAGAAAATAGATTGGCAAGGAAATCAGCAGCCCCGCCCCATCCATCAGAACTTCTTCCGGTGCAGGATGCCCAATTTCTCTTTCTAGCCACTTTCGTACAGACACGCGTTGACCTACTAATGGTTGGCCTGTCAGTCAATTGTCGTACGAGAAGGCGGAGTCTAGTGAGCTCGCGCTTTATCTTCGAATCGCAAATTGCGGACGCGTGCGACTTTCATGGGCGGAGCCACGCCGGTGACGATTCGCCGAGCCATCTTTCTCGGGCACACAGCTCTCGCCAGAACACTATGGTGCTGGCGATATTTGTGCTAACGGCCCTAGTGTCGCCTATGTTTACGTCTGGTAGGTTTGTCCTACTATAATACCTTACTCATTGTTCCACAATTTGCAATATTCATTAGGTACCCTTTTCTCTCAGCACAGTTGCCATTCAGACATACTATTTTTATTTATAAAAATTCCATCATTGTTTTGGCCATGATTCGAGAGCCCCCCCCCGCGATTCCCATGCTTCATAATACAGCGCTATTCCGGTAAGTCGTCAGTTCTGGAAACAATTGAGCCCCAAAAGGCGTGGGACACCCTGGCTCTCGTCCACCTCGTACTGATGAAAGACTCAGAAAATAGGGGTCCCATAAAGATTTTTTTTGATAGATTGAACATGACAGATGTGACGACCCTACCAATGTTCGCAGGAAAGAATCATCCATTAAGATGTATATCGCCTCTGCTATAGGAGATCCATTCTTTGATAGAAATGTCAACTCGGGGGAAACGGAGAACATTCAGATCCTTTGAGAGGTCAATAAATCTAATGAACAACAAGTAGAAAGAATGAGTCAGTGAAAAATGTTAGGACAGCGCTTTTTGATGCCTGATTTTGACAACCATTAGCTGATGGGGAGGAAAACTACTTTTCTTATAAAGTAAGACATAAGTCCTTTGCAAAGTGTTAGGCTTGGGTCACATCACCGGGATAACTATTTGCCATATTGAACCTTTTGCCCCCGAAAATGCTCCATGGACGTTACAATAACCCCCAACACACAAGTTCTCTTAGCGACCCTTACGAAATCATCGCCTCATGAAATTTCGCCATAGCGCTGGAGGAAGAGTGGGCAGGACAATACGTCCTAAGCGGTACAACTCAGTAATCAAAAAGATTCTCGAGGCCGAATAAGGTCCTTCTCTCAGGAGACCAAATACTACCTCCCGTTGGAGAATACCAGCAATGTTGTGCTCCTGCTAGGCTCGAGCTCGCGGAAATACTTCAAATGCAGCCATTTAGATTTGTAAAGTTGAGCTGAGAAGGGTTTCTCTGAATAACATATTTTCCTGCTCCATTACATCCTAGTATGGGAGCCCCTTGCTAAATATACTTGCTTCTTACTACTGATTATTATAATTATCGTAATAGCCACTATAGTCGCTATGTATGTTTCCTGGACTACGAGTACCGCTACAACTACTAGGCGGAGGGAAAGTCATTCTCTCGAACGGTTAGCTCAAAATTTGTGTGCAGAGATGAGCAACAGAGGGAGAGCTAAATGGGCCAGGCCGCACCAAGGCGACACTGTAGATTTATGATTTATTATTGGCATTCTATTGAGAGTGACACACATAAAAAAGGAAACACAGAAAAAATCTCCGATAATCAACATAGATCAGTGGGAAGACAGAATAGAGAGCTGCGGTGTAGAGGGGGTAATCAGGGCAGAAGGGCAATGGCCGCCAACACTGCAAGTCCATCCACGCATCAAACAGGACTCCGGATACCAGCTTAGTGGGTCCGCCACTTTTACTGAGACCCAGCTCCAACAGCAGCAAGCAAGGATCAGCAATAGGGGTAGACAACTAGGTAAAAAGTATAGGAAAGGGAAAAAAGGAAATTACAAAAAAAGACGCAAACACATCTTAATCATGACACAAAACACATTCAATCTAAGGCGACATAAAATACAGCTAGGAATACAAAAATCACTTAATCGCCACTCAGCCTTTCAAAGTGTAATAATTTAGTTTCTGCTCTTAGAGCCACCCTTTAAATCATAACTTTTCTCACTGATCATGTGAAATCACTCACTTTTCTCGGATTCTTGAATGAACCCACATGTTCAATCCATAGTCCAAAAAAAGGGGTTCACATCTCGAAAAAAATGGCTCAGTTACTCACTTCAAATTGCAGATTGTGAAGTGTCCGAATGGTCCACATGGAGTCGTTGTTATGGTACCTGCTTTTATGCTCTGGCTGTCCGAAATCGTGACGTGATCCGTCCAGGTCTGCCTGACAAACCGCAAGGTCCTGTCAGGCGTTGTCCTGTTCTTTATGAGACTCGTTTCTGCACTGTTCCGTCATGTCAGGTACTACATCCAGTTTGGTTTGAAGTTCTTGGAGTATTTTGCATGTGTTCCCAGGGAATATCGCCTCGACAATCGCACTAATCTCATGAGCGCATCAAAACTCCATTCTTGCAGCAAATTAGTGAAATTAATCACAAGAATGTTAATTTATGGGAGAAAACCTTTGAATTTGCCGGGGTGTAAACCCAGATCTTAAACCTTTTGTGGGAACGCGCTACCTTTGCATCATTGAGGACATCAGCAGATCTCTAAGCTTAATGAAAGACAGAATAATTGATGATGAAATTGATGTTTTCGATAATTATCCTCGGGGAGGCACTGAGCACACAGATTCTGTCCTTCCCAACGACTGTATTGATTGTGAGAACTAAATCTTGAAGCAAATATAAAAAATGCAATAAAACTATTAAAGTTGTGGTCATCAGTCTGTTCTAATTTTTTTCTACTATTGCATCTGGACTGTTTGCTAATATGTGTGTATATCCTCTGCAGTAACTCCTACACTCAACTAGTAATTGGACGGCTAAGTAGCCGGACACGAATAAAACTGCGGAGGAAAACACGTTCAGCACGGGTCTACCCACTTAAGGCGGAGGGATAGTTCGAGTTGCTGGCAATTATAATGAGTCTTTCTGTATGAAAACTCACTGTTTTTGATCAGCGCTTTCTCCCATACAAGATGTTCTCAATTTTTTTTCCACCACCCACGCGGAAGCAAGACAATTTATTCTTTTTTTATGGGTTTGATTACTAAGGTCGGAGTCTTTATGCTCCCGGTTTCATAGTATTTCCGCCAAAATCTTCATCGAGACGCTTTTGTAATCAGCATACCGTCGGAAACGTGGCAGCAGAGTTGACCCAACCACGGGTTTTCATTACGCAGGTTTAAAGGAAGCATGTAGCCGTAAGTACACTACCAAAAGTTTTATGAATAGACTGACCTTTGAATCAATGAAGCTGTGAGTAATGTTCAAGTACTTCTTGGCGAACTTGTCTGGCAAAGTCATATCTCCATGCACAAGATGGAGGAACTCCATGAATAATACAGTTTTCATATGAGATTATATAGTACCTTAATGGTTATAATCCTTTATACATTTTTTTCTTCAAGTTTTAGAGGGGGTGACTCAAAGAAGTAGCTCAGTTTCCGTTTCGCACGCGCCCTTTCGCATGAAAACTTACAAATAATTACCCTCTGCCGGTCTCTATTTACAGGAAGGAGGGGTTGGGGGTCATCAAATTTGCAGCCAGCATAGTAAAAAGAAGCATGAGAAGAAAGAAAAGTCAAGGGTCCAGAGAAAATTCGGGAAACCCGTTTAGGGATGAAGTAGTAGGTTTGTGGAGAGAAAAGTTTTGCTAGTATAGTGTTAGTGGTGGCATCAAGAAGTAAGAAAAAATGAATTGTGCAGAAAGGACGAGCAAATCGTTCTTCGAGGAAGTACGGGGGAGGCGAAGATAGGACGGTTATATATTATATTATTATTATTATTATTATTATTATTATTATTATTATTATTATTATTATTATTATTATTATTATTATATTATTATTGCTATTATTATTTTTACTATTGTTGTTATTGTTATTATTATTACTATTATTATTATTCAATGAGTAACTCATTTATTTAGTTATTCAATAGTGCACGCAGAGTGTTAATGAAAGGTCAAAGAAAGAAGAAATGATCGCAAAGTTGTAAAAAATCGTACATTCCATTTTAGAGTCAACCAACATTTTAATGACTGCGGCTTAACTTTTACTTTGTTGCGTTATTTTGAATTTGAGTATTAATCACTTTGTCTTGTAGCGGAGATGGTGCAGAGACAAATGCTAAGGTTACCTCGTGCGCGGTCCGAGGTAAAATTTCTGATCGGCTTAACCCAGGCCAACCAAGCCTTCAATCCTTCAAGAACGATAAATTGTCTCAGAAAGAATTATCGACAGCGAAGACTTTCCCCTCTACCTTATCACTTTATAAAACGATTTTGAGAACTACCAGTTGCACGATGAGCGAGTCACTGCAGTTCCTTTCCATGTGGGACGGACACGTCATTTTCAAATAATTCTGTTGAAAAGGGCTTTAACTCAGTAGCTTCTGATTCGAAAAGCTCGCTCGTTAATGAAAGCTCAATGGATGATGATGAGTCATTTCAAGCGCAAAAAAGTGAAGTCCGGTTCCTTTGCCTGGGTAGGCAGTATTTCCAAAACTGCACTGGAAATCCCGGTGAAAAGGCGGAATCGAGAAAAGATGGTGATACGATGTGGTTGAAAAGGTTACCGACTTTTTCAGTAACTTCGCTTCATTACGAACCTATTTCCCCACGGCCAGGTTTCTGGGTCAAGCAATTTCCGCTCATTGGAGCATGGGAAGAAGGGGAGTTCTTTCACATTTTTTGAGACTAATTTGTGGATAATTATATCCAGCTTTGTTATGGTGCACTTGTCGCTAATGTTCCAGCATTTCATAGATTCTTGCAAAATGAAGGCCACAGCAACCCAAGATAGGGCGCAAGCTCGATTTTGGTCGGTTTTTTTCTCGGCAGTTTTCTCTATTACCTCATGGCATACCCTGAGGTCCTTATCTTCAAAGATTTTTGAAATGCAAGCCTGAGAACAATAGGTTTTTCTGGTTAGGTTCAGCATCTCCGAAAACATTTTTTGTCAGAAATTTCACAAGGTGCCTATTATCTCCCAGCATTTTGATCCATATATTAGAAGGTATGCTCACATTCCGCTAAAAAACTCAACACCGCTGTCTTGCAAGCACTCCTGAAGATTGGCACGATTTCCAAAAGGAAATATCTTCAAGTGCCACCACGATAATTTGGTACTCGGTCTAAAGTACTAACGGGGTGCTATATAGCGGGCAAATGGCGAAAAAAGAGACTGAAACGATCAAGCATCTGCGAAGAAGAGCCTTCGTTCTTAATGGCTCGAGAAAACAATTTCGGACGAGTTTTCCGTAGGCGTCTTGTGAATAACCGCTACGGTCGGTACGGCTGCACGGTTGTACTCATATATTCATGCAGCATCGCAGCCGCTTCATATAAATCCCTTCGCTTCATATTTACTTGGCAATTGAAGTAAAACGATCAGGTACGGTCGTCCGTTTGTTGGCGGATGGATGTCCGGGTCAGTATGAAGCAGCTTGATAGGGCCTTATACGAGCACCGTCTTTGGAAAAGGCGCTATGCAGCGCCTGTTTAGGGGTCGCGAAATTTCGTTCTGCCAAGCGTATTTATCCTACTCGTCTTAAGGATATCAGGCGAACTGCCTTTACCTACACTGTTTACGGGGTCAATGCGATGATAACGGATTCCAGGTAAAGTTCAGCGAAATTCTTATGTCAGTGTGTATAACTTCCACTTTGACCAAAAAAGTTGAAAAAGTGGCCTGAAGCAACCTACCGAGGCGATATTCCCTCGAAATTGATGTAAAACTTTTAGGAAATTTCAGGCGGTCACTGAGACCAGAACTGTTAACTCCTCGCAAGAATATGATGGCGATGCTGGGCTAGCCCAACATTTTGTAACAATGAACTTCAGGAGGGTTCATCATCGGATGCTGTTGATCTACCAAGTCGCTCTGGCCACAAAAAACAGACTGTGAGACTGATAGTTGAAAAGAAGTATTTACGAAAAGGACAACTTGAGCCTGCAACAAATGTGGCGGCTGTGGATCCAAGTCGATCAGTGGTAAGGTTTTGATGCTGCGTTAGTTACAATTTTCTACGCCAAACTTGTTACCTGGCCAAATGTGCAAATCTTTCGCTCGATTTTCGTAGTCTGAATGGAATCAAAAAGGAATACCCTGGTAGCCCAGCGCAACAATTTCTGGCCCAAAATGTGTTGGACCCAGCTCCTTTCATTTTTTTTCTGTTCAACCCCCTCACCCTCCTTTCGATTCTTTCGCTGAAAATCCTTGCGCGAAGCGCCCAGTACACTACCCCTGAATCCAGTAGATCTCACTGGAAGCCTTGCTGCAGATAGCCACGCCTTGCTCTTGCCGGGGATCTAACTTAAAAGTACAGCATACACATTATACTCTGCGTATCCTGTTTACACTAGTCTTTCACCCATTGGCTATCCTACGCATATGCACTGTTGAATGGACTTTTATACAATGAGATTTTGCTTCCGCCCCGACGTGTCCGCCCACTTATTAAAGGATTTATTAAAATTTTGCCGCACGTAGGGCAAAAATGGGGCTAGAATTGACTAAGGAGTTTTAAATAGTCTGCTTACGATAATGTCTATGAGGAAGTAAGGCACAGAGCTTTGCCTTGTTTTTTTTCACCCTTTGGGGAAATCTGTTCAGTGAGAATTTAGAAGATTGGAAAGGTACCCAGAAAAGGTATTGCCAAGTATTGTAGCAGACCACGAGATTCCCTCACCAAGGCCCCAACACTCATAGCTGATTTTTTCACTTTCAGGCTCACCCCGACAATGATGTTTTCCCAGTGAAATCGAGAGAGAAACATTCCAAAAATTTCTATGGTCAACTTACTCAGACGATAGAAGCACTTCAACGACATCTACATCAGGAGGATGGCCCAACACATTCGTATAGAGGTGGAATCGCCACTGAAAAAGACCGTCGCCCTTTGTAAGAACTTTTGCCATATGACGATTCTTAGCTTTTAGTAATGAGATTTGTTTAGGAAATTGAGGTTAGACGAAGAGAAAGTGAAGCCAAAGAAGTACGTCAGCTCACTTGCCATCGATTTACCGAAACACTTGAAACCGGCAAGAGAACGTGTGCCAATGCACGCTAAAGATCTATGGAAACCAACGGAGGACACCGTCGTTGACCCTCAAACGGCGACGGATTCAACTGATGAAGATGCGACACAAGAAAGGGAATCGGCAGTCGACTATAAGATTCCCTTGAATGACATGCGAATTCGGAGAGTTCTACATCGTAATAAAAAATTAATGAAAGCACTAATTGAGGCTTACAAACTGCAATTCACAACTAGTACGGTTTATAGTACCTTTACGACTCCCACTACCACCACCACCACATCTCGCATCACTGAGGCTCCTGTGAATAGGAAATTGCCAGAGTTCACAGCGATGGATGTCGATGGTGATATTAAGGTACACGAAACTGCCATTTCGAAGGAAGCACCACCATCAGCGGAAGGATCGGCAGTTTCATCGACCGAAGGATTCAATACTGACATTGGATCAACTACAGTGGAAACCGAAGAAACCTCTAGTGAAGATATGACCACGGAATATCTTCGTACAACAGCAAGAACAAGTATGCACCAAGAAATTGCAAGAACTTCAGACGCATTAGAATCGACAACATCAGAAAGGCCTTCTGCAACGGTCACAGAGGAGTTAGCAGATCCTATACAAAACAGCACTACTCCACAAATATCTGGTTTATCGACAGAGCCAGTCATGGACGGAAAGCAGACGCTGGAGGCGGAAACTTCAACGGGAACTACTACGAATACAGAAACACCACAGGATTTCAGTGAAACTACGGAAGTTTCGCAAGACATCAGTGAAATCAGTAGCACTGCAGAAGGATCTAGTCAGCCTATGCAAGACTTCACATCGTCTCCCACTATGGACGAATTCACATCGACATCGGAAACAACTAGTTTGAAGAGAAATGTGAATAGTACTGTAAGCACCACTACAACAACGACTCAACTGCCTTACTGGCCAAAAAAAGTCCGTGATTACACGTTGATATTTATAGCTTTCATATCCCGAACATGAGGGGGGGCATGGTAGCGTGGCGAAGACATGATTAGAATTGTGCCAAATCGTAGGTGCACTTCAAAAGAGTGGTCTTTACCAAAATGAAGCACGCGACCACGCCTTCCCTATCAACGGGATATGGAGCGTAACACCATCAGTTGCAACAATTAATTTCTATGTTGAAGGGTTACGTGCCAAACACGAGAAAGCATGCTTCGGAGATTACTTCAAAGTTATACATGACAAGAGAGATCATACAGGTTGTTTGAAATTCCTTTCTGGAAAAGCTAATTTTTTTGATTAGTATTGTCCTAAAGTTATCTGAACTTTTTTGAAGGCGTTGTCGGAAGATCCCATTCGTCGTTCACCTATACTGAGATTGGATTGTAAGTTTGATGACTATTTCTTACTTGCTCGCCTCTTCAGTGAGACACTGAACTTGAGTTCATGACGTCAGAGCTAAGAAATGGTCACAGTTCGCATTTTAAGAGATTACTCGAAGTTTTATTTTTTCGAATTGCTTAGACAGTTAGCCGTAGCTTTTTACTAGTTGACGCCCTCCCCACCCTCTCTCTCTCCTCTCTTCTCTCTCACTCACTCTCGTCAGCGCCTCTCGAAACCGAAGGGGCGAGGATACGAGATGCACCATGAGATCTCTTTCTCCAATCTAATCTGGTAAATGTTATCCCTCGAGGTCATTTGGCTTAAGGTGGCGATTACGAAGGAAAATGCGCACAGTCATACCTAAACAGACCGAGATACCTTGGGATCCGGTGTTTGAGAGCGCGCTTTACCCAGAAGTCTAAGCACGACATGCGTAAGGGGAAACTGAAAGTGAAACTGGCCAATGCTCGTCAGGCTCCAACCCAGTCGGCTATTAATCGTCAGCTTTATGGAAATAATATGGTTGAATCTAGAAATTCTAAGAGATTCCTCTCTCAATAATGATCCTCTACTTATGCGAGACGAGATGCGAACGGCATGTGCGCCATCCCTTCTTGCGTAAGGCCAGTCGAGGATTCACCTCAAATGCACGGCCTCTTATGGCTCATAAAACATGGGGATCTCATTAAGTTTACGCGCCCGATCCTCGGATGGGGCAACCTTTTTTCGCCTGACTTCTGAAGTCGTAAAATTTCATTCAACGAATTCGTGGCCACAAAAAACAGCGAGCAACATTTTGTGTGGAATTCCATACGCCGCACGCGTCACAGAAGGGGTTGTTTTACCAAAGGCGGCATTATAAACGGGCGAAAAAAACTAGTGCTAAAATTTCACCTTCACATTGGCCACCTAATGCAGCGGTGTCGGTCGTCGTATTAAGCCTATGTACGACGCGTAGTTTTATGGCGATTCCAGCAGTTCAGACACCCTCTTTCCCGAATCGTCTGACATTTTGTGATGAATGTGGCACGTGTCGTACGAACCGTTCATGGGATGAATCCGCTCCCCAAATATCTTCGTCGGAGATCTCAGCCAAAAATTCGATAACACGGGTTAATGGGAAACCTGAACTCCCGCTTATTGATTGATTTATGGGGATTACGGTATTCCAAGCGCCCGTAGTCCTTATGTAGACCTTTGCAATAGATAAAACGTTACAACTCTTTCAATCACTTGGAGTTTTTTTCCATTAGTAACACTGAGGTGATAAGTGAGCGATCGAATTAAGTCCTTTTACTGGTACCCCCATAGGGGACACTCAATTCCACGAAAATGATCACTACTTATCCATCGGCCCTGGCACTATTTGCACTTTACTACCCCTGTTTTGGAAGAGAACATGCAGTTCGTCAGAATTTGGTGTTTGGTGGTGTTTGAACCCCCAAACGGTAACATCACATGTGCATTAAGCTCTAAGGGAGCTAACACTGAGGAAAAAACGGGCTTACATGATATGTTGGTCTGTATCTGGTTCCATCCATCCCCTGATCGTGGTACTTTCCATGGTGGACCTGATCAGGGGTACAAAGCCTTACTTCCCAGTCGCTCCCTCACAGAAAAAGGTGACTTGGGAGGTAAAGCCAGTCAGTCGTACTGTGATGCCGCGACTGGGAAGTAACGTTGCTTAACCGTCTAAACCACAGCAAATAGAAGGATTAGCAAGCGACCAGGAAGGATTCTGCCTTATCCCGCCGTTTCCCAAACTGCCCTAGAACTGCCTTCCGTGGCTAGGCGGATGTGATAATCGTATTCCGGAAATCATACTGCCCCTGAAGACGGGTTTTCAGGACATTAGGTGATTACGCCCGTCAGGAATATTGTACTTGTGATGAATACCTCTTCGTTTCCTGCTGCCGTGTAGATTCTCAAGCTCAACTCTACTACTTAAAGAAAGTGCCACGTCTTATCTGGATCCAAGAAGGAAAGGAAGCCCAAACGTAAGGTGTCCCTCGTAAAGGAAGTGAAGTTCTGTACTCAACAAGATCTGTACTGCCTTGAACAGTGACTTGCAGTGATTTACAGCTTGTAGATTGAATTCTTCTGCAGCTCACTGTTTATCTCATTACTTGTAACCCCGTACTGGATATTCCTGCCTTCTCAAAAGCATTCTTGTTGATGAAAACGTACCTCTCATCCCTCAGGCCACCTCTAGCGTCGGTGAAAAGGTCCATGAAAGGCAATGTGACTGTGTTCGAACGTACACAGCAACACCTTTTTCGATTAGTGAACATTCCTTATTGATCCAGCAGCCTGTAAAAAAACCAATTGATTACAGGCATGGAAAACAGACGATGCTGCAAAGTTACTCGAAATGAATGTTCTGATGGTTCACCACCGAAACTTGTCAAAAGATATTACAGACCAGTACGTAAGATGGAATTTTACCTCGATCTTGTGCACGTTTTTTACACGTTTATTTATTTACTGTACGTACACTATGCAATGGTCTATAGTACCAAGACCTGGGGCGACTACGGGGCTTCTTCGATATTCAATTTCTCGGAATGGGAAGGGGGAGGGGGTAGGGGTGCAATGGGACATTTTGCATTACGGACCATCGTTACCTACCACGTTAATCGTTGGGAGCGTTAATTGCTTAATTGCTGCCAATATGACACCGCCAGTCGCAGATTCTAATTGTAGTCTTGTTACCTGCGGATGATGGGGCATGCCAGCACGGCTGCGTTTGGCGCGTCACCACCCTGTTTTTCCTCTGTTCTCTTTCGACAAGCGACAAGACTGCATCATATCGATCGTGTCAGTGCTTTCCCACCACTACTTTTCGCTTACCCGCTTCAATAGCTGGTTTAGGATGAGGTGGCGGCGCGCCAAACCCAGCTGCAATGACACACCCCATCATCAGCGGCGAACAGGACTATAACAAGACTATAATGGCGCGGTTGAAGCCTGTTCCGTTCCGCTCCTGGAACTCACCATCAAATTCAACATCAGATTTAGATGGGGTCGCTCACTTTAGGACTACATTCGGCCTTTACGAGAAAGGCCATTAACACGACAGGTTTCATATCTTGAATAGAGGAGAACATTTCCCTAATTAAAACCCGTACGCCCTGGGAAATGGGGACGGAAGTGGAACAATGATGAGTGGCCCCATTTCTGCTCATGGGAAGTTTGAAGGACTAGTTCTGAGCCCAAGTGTAGAGCAGGATCTTCCATTCAGTTTGAGTAGGCCGATGTGTAGCGTCTCTGGCAAAATCAGGACCCTACACAACTTACACATTAGTTGGCTCCGAGAGGAAACACAAGGGTTGAAAGCACATCCAGATTCCATTGCAATTCTGAATGTACATCGGACATCTGGCTCATTCCAATGAGGGACTAACCATTTACGAGTGTTTTGAACTGTACTGTAATTTAGCGTGGATCTGACATCTGCATACCGTACCATTACCCGAGATGCTCTCCAACTGAAGAGATGGAGGAACAGCCTATACAGTACGAGCAGAACTGCCAAGATCTTTGCTTTGCAGGACCAGAAAAACGTATTTCACCACTACTTGAATTAGCTATCGAGCAGTGACCACCAAATGATTACCATTCATCAACATTCATGCCTTTACTTGCCATGCTTATCTAACGCTAACTTGGTAATAATGCTAACAGTAATAATAATTGTGGTTTTTATATTTCCAATCAAAACTTACGATGCCCATGCTGTCAACTAGCTAACCGTTCTCAACAGGAACTAATAGCAGCATATAATGGCCTTAATAATGAGCTCATGACACTTTCAATTGTTGCCTTAATAAAGTATTCCGTTTCAAGCATTCCTATCGGCTTTGACAGTACATGAGTGAAAGGGACCAGTCGTAGGACTCATCATGAGTTTTGTGTCTACAGACGGAATACAGTCCAGGGCACTTTCGTGTAGGGGATCGCCGGCGAGGATGGTCGCATTTACCTTTCAGAAAAACGTTTTCTGTTGTTGACTTTCAATTTTTTTTGTTTCAAGTGCATTCTTACCTCCCCCTTCCTACGCATGACTGCAGTCTTTTGATGGAAAACTGAAGAGTTCTGGGAAAAAAGCACCGGTGACCCCGGAAATGTGGAAGGAAATTGAGAAAGTCGGAGAAGATGGTATGTCGGTTCGGAGAAGGTGGGGGGGGATGGTTGTACCAGAAGAAGAAATTCCGAGGTAGAAGGTCCCATACTGGGAAAATTTTCCCCAATGGCATCGCTAATCGACCATACAAAAAACGATCTTCCTCTGAGTATGGAAATTCGTGACTGCAGACCTCACCGAAGTGTTTCTAGCTCTGTCGCCCACTCCAGTGGAAGGGAGTGTCTTGATAGAGCACAGTATCTCCATCCCATTAGTGACCGATTTATTGGGAAGCCAGTCGTTAATTCAAAAGTAGTAACAACTTTGTAGCACCTTCGTAGAAGAGCTGGACTCCATAAAAGCATGCTTGAACCTGTACGATCTATCCCAACTAGTCCGAGATCATATTCGAGCTTGAAGGCGATTCCTGCGCTGATCTTGTAGGGCGGGGTCCTTCAGACGGTAGCAGTAGATTGGTAGTAGCAGTGCGGTAAGGTCAAAAACAAGTACCGCCCATGTGCATGAGGGCGGAACTTGTTTTTGACCTCACCGCTCTGCTACTACCAATCTTGGAAGATTTCGCGCACGCTCGAAATTCTCGTTAGCCAGTTCTGAAACACCTGTAAAAAGTCAACCAGGCGCTAGTTATCCCCTTCTTGATGAATGTGATACATAAAGTTCGTGATAGTACAGGGTGACCAAAAAGTCCTGGCAATTTTTCGGAATACTTCGGTAGCATAAAAAATACTGTTCGAAAAAAAGAAATCAGCCAACTAAACGTCTGGGAGTCTTCATCTAATCAGTACTAATGACCGTATACAACAAAGTTCCAACAAGTATATTATAGTATACAAGTTATATATACTTATAGTATACAAGTTATTAGTATACAAGTACAGTATATAGTATACAAGTTCCAACAACAAGTGTATATGGGGCTCTTCACATGGCGCGCCTTATCCTTAGAAAATCAATGGGAAAACCACATATAGTCGTTGGACTCCCACAAAGTAACAACGAACTGATCTAAAAATTCCTCAACCCACTTCACCACTGTAAATCCCATCTCTCGCTCAAAGGGATGGAGAACGCTCATTTCACGTTTTCTTGTTACAAAATGTATGATGACTGCCACTTGAAAATTTTCAAGGCCTTAGCGTTTCGATGAGGACGGCTGTTCGACGAATGGCGCAAGTTGACCCACGGTCAAATATCGTACGAGTCTGACAACCACTTACTTTTACTGTTGCCATATTTGATAGCTGTAGAGTACTGATCTTCTTAAAAAGGAGGCTGCAGATCCGCTATATCTGCAATAACTCTTACATGAGAAATGTGCGAGGTGGCGAGCACAGCAGCTTTCGTAGCACTACCTTCGAACAGCTCTTGTGCGTTATTGGCGATATAGCAGGGAAGCAATCCTCTTGAATTGTTGCTGGGAACCAGTTGAGGTGCAACTCCCTTTCCAGGCTTGGACTGCCTCAATCAAAAGTTTATTTTCCAGGAGTGATAACAAATAGGCAGCAGGTAGTGTATTTTCGAGCATGCGAGCATAGGAATGCTTACAGTCCAGAGGTCGTTCACCAAAGCTTCTATTCCAAGGTCAGGAAATTAGTGACTGACTCACATGGGAAAATCAAACACATTGGAGCTAACTTCCATTCATATTAGAGACAAGCGTCCGCTTAGGGTTCCCCAATAGAGGTGTCGTATTTGGCTCTGAGAAAAGGGCGAGCCGTATCTAGAAGCCAACAAAACTGTAACGACGTGAGAGCGGGATAGGTGTTAAAAGCAGAAATAATGAAGTGATATTGGGGATGACCCAATTGAGCGAGAACCCTCGTTATACTGCGTACTCTCCAGGTGACACTGACAATCTGTTCAAATTGTACACCACAAGGCATGTATGAACGAAGGTATGTTCTTCTAAAGGGCGACAACTTGCACGCAGGCGGTGGTTCCCTTACAGCCGCGAGAACATTTCCAAACATGCAAAAAAAGAACTTTTTTCTGAATGATGGACTTTCATAAAAGATTTTGTAGTGCACGGCAAGCAGGGCAATGCTGAGTGGGGACGGCCACACGGCGTCCACGGCAAAGGGACTCCACAGTAGATGGAGCCACGGCACACCAGGGCAGAGTGCGACGTGGGGATCGGCTCACGACGAGTGCGTCCACAGGCTAACAGGGACTCCACAGTAGATGGGAGCGGCAAGCAGTGCAAGCTGTCAGGTGGGGGACGACCTACACGGCGTCCACGGGCAAAGGCGAACTGCCACAGATAGATGGGGAGCACTACGCGCCAAGCAGGGCACATGCTGAGTGGGGACGACCATGCAGCGGCGTCCACAGCTACAGGGAATCCACATATAATGAGGAAGCAGACACGGCAACGCAGGGCAAAATGCGAGTGGGGAATGGCCAACACGGCGTCCACGGAACAGGGACTCACCACCGATAGATGGGAGCCACGGGCAAGCAGGGCAATGCTGAGTGGGACGGCCACACGGCGTGCCACGGAAATGGGACTCCACAGTAGCTAAGGGAGCACGGCACGCAGAATGGCCGAGTGGGAAATGGCCAAACATACGGCGTCGAGCACGGGCAACAAGGGGCTGCCACAGCAGCAGTAGATGGACGCAAGGCAAGCCAAGTGGCCACAAACGCTGAGTGGGGAGGGCCACACGGTGTCCAGGGGCAAAAGGGGCTCCAGAGTAGATGGGAGGGCAAGGCCAGCAGTGTTTAACACTGAGTGGGGAGCGACCACACGACGTCCACGGCCACAGCAGGGAGCTCGCACAGTAAGATGGGAGCACGGCAAGCAGGGCAATGCTGAGTGGGACGAGCACAATCGAGACGTCACGGCAAAAGGGACTCGCCACAGTAGATGGGAGCACGGCACGCAGCGGCAATGCGAAGTATAGGCGTACGCACGGCAATGGACTCCACAAGTAAGATGGTCGGAGCATAGGCAAAGCAGTGCAAACGCTGATGACGCACACGGCGTCCCGGCAAAGGGGCTCAACAGACAAGCATGGGAGGGCAAGAAGCGAGGTGGCAAACGGGGCTGAGTGGGGACGACGACACCCGGCGTCCACGGCAACCAGGGAGCTAAAGCAGTTAGATGGGAGCATGGCACGACAGGGCCAATGTCGAGTGGAGGATGCGCACACGGGCGTGCCGACGGCAACAGGGAACTGCCCCAGTTAGATGGGAGCACGGCCAGGCAGGGCAATGCTGAGTGGGACGGCCACACGGCGTCTCGCAATGGGAGCTGCCAGCATGCTAGATGGGAGCACGGCAACGCAGGGCAATGCGAGTGGGGATTGGCACGCGGCGTCACGCATACAGAGGGCTCCACAGTAGATGGGAAGGATAAGGCATGCAGTGCAACGCTGAGTGGGGACGACCACACGGGCGTCCACGGCAACAAAGGGACTCCCACAGTAGATGGGAGCAAGGCAAGCAGTGCATAGCGCTGAGTGGGAGACGCACCACACCGGCTTCCGACGCAAAAGTGCCACTCCAGCAGTAGATGGGAGCACGGCAGCGCAGGCAATTGCGGAGTGGGGATGGCCCACACGGCGTCCACGGCCAAATGGGACTCCACCCGTAGATGGAGGCAGCCGCACGCAGGCAATGGCGAGTGGGGATGGCCACCACGCGTCCACGCAAGATGGGACTCCAGAAGTAGAGTGGGAGCACGGCAAGCAGGGCAATGCGAGTGGGGACGACCACACCGGCGTCCACAGGCCAAAAGGGCTCCACAGTAGGATGGGAGCACGGCAACCAGTGCAATGCTGAGTGGGACGGACCACACGGCGTCCCACGGCAACAGCGGACTCCAAGTAGATGGAGCACGAGCAGGCAATGCGGAGTGGGGATGGCCGCACGCGTGCTAGGCATAAAGGGAGCTCACAGTAGGTAGGTGGGAAGGCACGGCAGCAGGCATGCTTGAGTGCAGGACGACCACACGGCCGGTCCACCGGGCAAGGGAGCGAGAGAGTAGGATGGAGCACGGCAGCGCAGGGCAATGCGGAGTGGGGAACGGCCACACGAGCGTCGCACCGCAATGGGACTACCACAGTCAGATGGGAGCACCGCACGCACGGGCAATGCGAGTGGGATGGCCACACCGGCGTGCCACGGCAACAGGTGACTCCACAACAGATGGGAGCAGCGCAAGCAAGGCAGGGCAAATGCTGAGTGGGACGGCCACAGGCGTCCACGGCAAATGGGACTCCACAGTGATGGGAGCCACGGCGACGCAGGGTAAGAAACAACGTGGGAGGTGGGGACGAAACGCACACGGGCCGTCGCCCCGGCAAAAGGGTCCAGCAGTAGATGGGGAGCACGGGCACGCAGGCAATTTGCGAGTGGGGGACGGCCACAGCGCGTCAACGCAAATAGGGACTCCACAGTAGAATGGGAGCACGGCACGCAGGCAATGCGAGTGTGCGGCCACCACGGCGTCGCACGGCACAGGGCCTCCACATAGATGGTGAGCACGGCAAGCAAGGGCAATGCGAGTGGGAGATGGCACACACGGCGTCCACGAGCACAACAGGACTCCACAGTAGTATGGCGCGCACGGCACGCAAGGCAACGCTGAGGTGGCGACGACGCACCGGCGTCCAACGGCAAAAGGGACTCTCCACAGTAGATGGGAGCAAGGCACAGCAGGGCAATGCTGAGTGGGGACGACCACAAGGCGTCCACGGTGCAACAGGGACTCCACAGTAGGATGGCAGCACGGCACGCAGAGGCAATGCGAGATGGGGACGGCCATCACGGCGTCCACGGCAAATGGGACTCCACAATAGATGCGGAGCACGGCAGCAGGCAATGCTGAGGTGGGACGGCCAACACGGGGTTCCACGACGCAAATGGGACTGCACAGTAGGATGGGAGCACGCACAGCAGGGCAATGCGAGTGGGGAATGGCCACACGGCCGTCCACGGCAACAGGGGCTCCACAGTAAGTACGATGGCGAGCCAAGCAAGCAGTTGCAAGCTGTAGTGGGGAACGGCACCACACGGCTGTCCAGGCATACAGGGAGCTCCACAGTAGATGGGAGCAAGGGCAAGCAGTGACCAAACACTGAGTGGGGACGACCCACACGGCTTTCCAGGCAAAAGTGACTATCCACAGTAGATGGGAGCACGGCACGCAGGGCAATGCGAGTGGGGATGGGCCTACACGGCGTCCACGGCTAAAGGACGCCACAATAGATGGGAGGCACGGCAAGCAGCGGCAATGCTCGAGTGGAACGGCCACCACGGCGTCGCACGGCAAAGGGGCCCACAGTAGATTTGGGGAGCACGGCACACAGGGCATATGCGAGTGGGGATCGGCCACACGGTCGTCCAACGGCAAAAAGGAGACTCCACAGTAGAGGGGAGCACGCACGGCAGGGCAAATGGGAGTGGGACGGCCACAGGCGTCCTCGGCAAATCGGACTCGTCCACAGTAGATGGGAGCACGGCGCAGGGCATGCGATTGGGGATGGCCACACGGCGTCGCACGGCAATAGGGGACTCCACCAGGTAGATGGGAGGCCACGCACGCAGGGCAATGCGAGTGGGGGAACGGCTACACGGACGGCGTCCAGGCAAATGGACTCCACAGTAGATGGGCAGACGGGCTAACGCAGGCAATGCGAGTGGGATGGGCCACACGCGTCGGCACGGCAACAGGGACTGCCAAGTAGATTGGAGCACGTGCCAGCAGGGCAATGCTGAGTGGGGAACGACGACATCAACGGCTTTCCCACGCAAAAGTGACGTCCACAAGTAGATGGAGGCACGGGCACGGCCGCAGGCAATGCGAAGTGGGGATGGCCACACCGCGCATCCACGGCAGACAAGGACTCCACAGTAGATGGGAGCAGCATAGCAGCGGCAATGCTGAGTGGGGGGGACGGCACAGGCGTCCACGGGCCAAAGCACGGGGCTCGCACAGTAGATGGGAGCACAGGCAAGCAGTGCAACCGCTGAGTTGGGGGACGACCACTCACGGCGTCCCACGGCAAAGGGACTAAACCCAGTAAGCTATGGAGCAGGCACCAGGGCAAATGCGATGGGGAATGGCCACACTGGCGTCCACGGGCCAACAGGGACTCGCACAGTAGATGGGAGCCACGGCCCAGCAGCGGCCAATGCTGAGTGGGGAACGGACCAACGGCTGCACGGCAACAACGTGAACTCCACAATAGATGGCGAGCACGGCACGCAGGGGCAATGCGAGTGGGGGATGGCCCCACGGCGTCCACGGCACAGCATGGGACTCCACATAGATGGGAGCACGGCAAGCAGGGCAATGCTGAGTGGGGACGGCCACCCAGCGAGCGTCCACGCAACGACGGCCCACAGTAGATGAGCGAAGGCAAGCCAGTGCAATCGCTGAGTGGGGACGACGCTACAACGGCGTCCACAGGGCAAAAGTGACTCCACAGTAGATGGGAGCACTGCAGCATCGGTTCACGCACGCAGGCAATTGGGAGTGGGGATGGCCACACGAACGTGCCACGGCAAAAGGGACTCGCACGTAGATTGGAGCACCGACACGGCAGGCAATGCGAGTGGGGAAGGCCACACGGCGTCCAGGGCAAAATGGGACTCCACAGTAGATGGGGCCGGCAAGCAGGGCAATGCGAGTGGGACGGCCACACGGCGTCCACGGCAAAAGGGACTCCACAGTAGATGGGAGCACGGCACGCAGGGCAATGCGAGTGGGACGGCCACACGGCGTCCCACTCGCATTGCTGGGGCGTACGCAACATCTAGGCTGAACTATGTAAGAGACCGACTGATTTCCTAGCCCAGATAATTTTTGAGCCCCTTTTATCCAGCATTGCTGAAGGTGCCTCATTCCCGATTTGACAGAAAGAGCAGCCAGAATGGTGAAGATGAATTAGAAGGAGTTGGGATTCGTGTGCGCTAGCACATTTTCAGGTAATGTCAACTCATACCAGCAATGGAGAAGAGCACCACCAGCATTATGATGACTCCACAACATTTCTCGTTCTCATAGCACTCAATACATGATTTTATTCTGGGCTGTTTGCTTGCCACACTTCTTCAAACTAAAAGTGTGAAATTTTCTCAAGACTTTTCGGACAAACTAATAGTTTCACCGGGGTTTTGTTCGACCTTGGTCTTCTATTACCGGCGTTATAGCCCCTGAAATGGTAAAACGCACGCTCAAAAATTTTCATCGTGATTTTCGATTCGAAGCCGCGAGACCTCAGGATTACTCTAGCTCCTGCCGGGTGGAGGGGGGGGGGGCTGGAGGATCGCGTCTATCGCTTTGTATAGTGCTGTTTCTGAGGAAAGTTACAACTTATCGGAAACCTCTTGAAGTTTGAAAAAGGTTACTGCCGCACCACCGCATTGGGCCCCATCAACAGCAGTAGAGCCCAAACTTACTGCAGAGCATACAATTGTGAGGGGGACAGAACATTACTTCACGGAAGGAATGTTGATAAGTGAGAACGAAGCCAAGTCTTCAAGAAGGAGCATGACGCCAAGGGTAGCTTCTCAACCCGCTTCTGAGAACAATGAGATATCCGACCTAGTCACTCGATCTAGCGTTGTATATAAACGAGTATTCAATAACAGGGAATCAAAACAACAAGAAAACGGACAAAGGACAGGAGCAAAGCCAATTCAGAAATTCGTTTCAGCAAAGGGATTCTCGGACAAAAAAATTTGATTATTTTCTATTATTCTCACATACGAATGAAGTATTTAGTGACAAACAAATATCCATTTCAATCACAGCAACTCTTTCCAAATAGTAATGCAGTATAGATATGCAGTAATGATGCATAGTCACCGCTAAACGATCTACATAGCCACCTAAGCTCGAGAGCGAAGATCATTAGTGAGGCACAACAAGACCTATAAGGCTTTCAACGGCCAGAGCTGTACACTGGTAACGAGTAACGTAAATCGTAACGAAATTTCATGCAATAAATACAAATAAGGAACTGCCATTGATAGGATGCATTGAGAGCTCAATAAGGGCTGGCAGTGTAAGGTATGGATGCCGCAGACGTTTGCTCTCCTCAACCAATAGCACGCTGGTCATTACTCAAATAAATGAAATAAAAACAAACAATCGAAACAGCCTGAGTGACGGTTAGCACAGGGAGACATTAGAATTAGTACTGAACTAGTTCATCAAACGATGGAGACTTTTCGAATGAGAAGATGTTGCAACGCGTGCTGATCGACGGATATATTTTGACCTCCTAGCATTTCTTCAACCCGTTTTACCTGAATTTTGTGACATTATTAAGATCAAAGCTGTTTTGGTTTGATAACTGCTGTTAGCCGCAGTGCGCGCTCCGAAAGTTATCACAAGAACGCTGAGATACTGGCAAAACTCGGACCCGGGACGGGACTCGAACCCGCACCTCCCACCTACCGGGGGGAGACGGCGGAAAATGCCATTGAGCTGGGAAGACAAGAATGGTCTCAGAGCGTTACGCAACCGCCCATTAAGCTGGAGATGCGGGTTCGAGTCCCGTCCCGGGTCCGAGTTTTGCCAGTATCTCAGCGTTCTTGTGATTACTAGGACTATTTGTCAGCTCTTTCAGAATGTCGAAGCGACTCCAGTTCTAAAGTGTGCCAGTTAGATAGCGAGCACCATAGTATTAGCGCGCTCAAAGGCGCAGTCCGTGCTGATTTTATGGGCTGAGACAGAGGGGCCACCAGCATTTCTCATTGGTGCAACCAAACTGATAGACAGGGAGGGAGCGCCATGGAAAGATACTCTTTTTCTCTCCAGCCCCTACCAACAGCGCAGGCTTCGCATTCGACCGGACAATTTTTTTGGCAAAGAAAGCATAGAAAGCCGAGTTAAGTTCCTCCCACTGACTTGTAACAATACGGCTCAGTTGCCCCGAATAGGGGAAAAAAACTCCACGGAGCGCGAAAGAACTGCTCCGTGAGAACAGTTCGCTTGCGAAAAGTCTCTTGGCCAATTCATAAGTTTCATATGTCGGAGAAAAAAAAATGAAGCACAATTACCATTCTCTTTTTTGCCATGTGTTCGCATCCAAAATAGAGAAGACACATTGGTATTAAAGACAATGCTCCTAATGGTCCCAAGTAATATACCTGAAAATACCATGTATCTTGTCCATTTAGATTTTTACAAGTACATGCACTAGCTCGTAGTCACACTTCGAGCAAAATCATGCGAAACTTCTTATCAGAGTACGTCACCGTTGTACGGAACCTAATGGGTCGTATTCACCCTCTAAATAACATTTTCATTGCTGCATTTTGAACGGTTCAAGCGCGTTATATACTCGCCATGGTTTGGGGTACTGCAAAACAATTTCTATGAGACTGATCAGAGATGTCTACTCTTCATCCCACCCCCCTCCCCCATCTCCATGGAGGTGGAGTTCTGGGTAAAATCGGTCAGAGCGTGAGTATTGTAAGGGACTGTCGTAACAGAGAAAGAGAGAGGGAGAGAGAGAAGAGAGAGAGTGGTAACGGCACGTTCGGAGGGGGGGGATCGTATTGACAACGCCATTTCACTCACACCGACGAAGGACTCTGCGCCAGGTAAATGCTGCGGTTAAATTGGCAGCAGTCCATAGCCTCTCACTCTATCAGGTATCACCCTGGTTATCATTCTATACAACTGCATTCCTCTACAAGTAAGGAGCAAAATGGGTGTTCGGAATAGTATACTAAATAGATAATGCAGTTGTTATCGATAAGATCATTGACTTCAGATTTTACTTGCAGATTTTGTGAGTGTAGCCTAACATGCTGAAAGTAAGGGGAAATTTTCTGTACACCAAGGAATACCCGCCCTGCGCGAATGAAGTATTGGGAGAGTGACTTGAGAAATCACATTTCTAGAACAAAGACGAGAAAAGCAAAGCCACTACGTTGTGTAAAACATGTATGAAACCCCAAGCAACATAGACACGTGTGACATAAAGGTACCTTGCTTACGAGCTCTTTTCATCACAAAATCTCCAAACATTTACTAAATCCACGAAAGCGGGACGGAGTGTGTAGGACTTTTATTGGAAATTTTCCGTGATTGCACGGTTGTTCTTTGTGTTCTTGAAGATCAACTGTAAGCTCATTTTCGTGGGTCCCAGTACTCGCCACGTTCGTGGTGAGTGGGGCTGCCGCTACAGTAATGTGCCACTTTCTCTGGTCAAAACTGCACCGGAAACAGTATTGCAGGGAATGGACACCCACCCCCGCTCCACCGCGGTCAGCCACAACCCTGACCATCTTTTTTGGCGATAGTAAATCATTAATCATCAACCACATCCAACGCGCTAATTAGCTGCGGCCTCTCACTTCTGACTCTTACCTACAGCTAACTGCTCGTTGCGGGTTTGGTATTGATGCAAGTACTACAACTAGAGAATAGTACCCTAGAGGAAAGTGCTGACGAAGTCGGGAGACGGCAGCCGGCAATAACTACCCTCGAGCCCCGTTCCCGTGCACTTTCTAACGGGGGAAAATGGCATGCTGCTACAGCCGCAGACTCATTCAATGCGTGGAAACTACCTCCTTCATAGGTAATTGTGCAATTTATCCTTGAGCAGTCATAGAGCAGTACGAAAAACAAGCCGACTGCTACATTTATTCACCTCCGGCTATTGTAAGGCAGGCTCATTGGAAGCGGGGAAAGGAAGTGTTCACGGAAGTTCCGGAAATCGGAAAGAACCTAAGGAACGACCCATGAAAAGAGTCGAACTGTCTTTCTTGCTATTCTATTTACAGTAAACATTCTACAGTGCTTGAATTGAGCTGCAAAGTGCAGAGAAAAGACTCTGGAGTAAGGAAATCAGGATTGGCATTTTATTCTCTCCCTGACATAATTCGCTCTCTCCCTATCTCTCTGTTCTATAAGGATACCGTAAGGACCTCTATTTCAGGTGAATCAGACTGTAGGACCCGATTTTTCCAAGAGTTATGGTGTTCTGGTGGTACAATAACTCGTTTTCTCCCAATATTACCCATGAAACGACCATCACATGGCTGAGAAGTTCGACCTTGATCTTTCTCCCGATCGACCCCATGATTTTCAATGTGTGAGAAAAGTGCGTATGATTTGTCGACCATGCGTAACGGTACGTAACAAAATGTCTACTACGCTAAATTGTTTTACAGGTGCACAATTAACGCATATCTGTCATTCGTCCGCAGTCACATAAAACTTTATGGCAACGTACCCGACGATTATAGTAGCTGTAGACTTGTTTCGTGCTCAATTCGTCACAGAAAGTGCCCGAATACGGTTCTTCGCACTCGCATTTTGTTTCTGAAGAATGTTCAGTGGTACCAATCAAAAGATACGGAATTTGGCAAAAAAAAATTTTGGAAAATTTGGACATCATCATAATGTAGACAAAAGTCTGTGCGCGTAATTGGACAAAGTACTGAACCTTGCAAAACAAAAATTAGTCTGTACCACTAACGTCACCTACGGTAGCACAAAAAGGTCCCTGAGCTGCATAAACTCAATTCGTGGCAAACTCAACGGAAAATTTCTAGAACTGGTTCGGCGAAACCATTAGGAATGAAGTACAAAACCCTCTTTTTTGGGGGTGATTCTAGCATTCTCCATAGGTCATAGCTCAACATTAAAGCACTCATTTTTCTTTTGCTGAAATGATCAGCACCGTGACCTGTTGCAAGGCGGACCATTTAGGCAGTGATAGACGTCACCAGGTACACTCCTTATCCCTGAGATGGAGTGGGCGTAGCATTTAGACATGGTATAGGATGGGTTATTCGTGGAATACTTCAACTTGAGACAACTGTCACCTTGTTGTGAGCTGGACAAAGACATGACCATAATTGTCACAGATAAAATTGTCTTACCAAAAGCACAGTCACCGCCACGTTTAGTTGAAGTACGCAGCCACGCCTACCTCGTCTCAGGGATTCCGAGTGTATATTGTGGACTATGAACGACGGCGCCGAAATTGGGAGATACACGTACATATGCGGTGCCAATCGTTATATCGACTGTTGGCAATGTTTCAATAGGGCACGCTGAGAGAAAAATAAAAGATACAATAAGCTTGTCCTTATTACATGTGTATAGACACTGGAGTATTCTGCTGTCCCGAAGACTCTTTTTTATCTGAATGTGTAGCAACAATGAGAAACTCCATTCGAAAAACTCAAAAGACATCAAAAGTCTCAAAAGGTTTTTTCAAAAAATATATTATCTTGCAATATTTCGGTGCGTAGCACCTTCGTCAGGCCTGAAGTTATTTAGCCTGTTTTTAGTGAGATACCGTTTACTACATAAATACAACTCACACGGACTGCTCACCCACTCAATCCACTTACCCTCTTGTCCCGAAATCGGACATTCAAATTGAATAGACAATAAACAAGAAACATTAAAATTTAGTAGTTAGGGCATAGTTTGCGCTCAACCCTTAGGGTGTGGCTAACCGCTTAGTATTTCAGAGCTTGTTCATAACAAAGAGAAACTCACTAAAAACAGCTCACAATCGGAGCACAGCTGGGCCTGACTGGCATTAAGCGCTATTTTCGTAACTTCTAAGGTCTAGGGCAAAGATGTTGCTCAAGTAGAACATGCTTTTAAATTATCAGAGACGTTCTTCAAACTTGCTCGATAGCACCTGTCAGTAATGGGAGAGACCCTTGGCAAAGTTACTATTTAAAGACCCTTGGCAAAGTTACTATTTAAAGAAGTAGCAGACGGAAACAGGAAGAAAATTAGTACAGCTGCAACAGCACTTAGCATTAAAACGATAGCACTTACGAAGCACTCTATCACGGCTAAAGGGTCAGTATATGGGGGGGGGGCAAACGAATACACTTCGGCCGAGTCACATATCAGCAAAGTTTTCGCAGCCCAGACAGAGGACGTGGATACGAGCACGCTGAAAATACCCAAGAAGTTCCTCGATAAGCAGGAGCAGGCTCTCGCCCATCACCTTCATGTACACCAAAATATGAAGTCATCTCCACTCGCAGCCTGACTGGAGAAGATCTTTGGAATTCACGTCAAATCCAAACAACTACGAAACTTCGTGTATGGAGCCACCCATGGATAGCTACCTGGAGACCACTACTCTCAATCTGGGAGACCTCCAACATCAAGCAGTTCCGACAACGCCACTACGGTCCAGGATATCATCTCCACCGCAGTCGCCAAAGCGTGGGTTGGTGGTTTTCACCGGAAGTTCCTGGAATGTGAGGACCGATATTTTCTTCGTGGACTCCGGACTGAAGCTGAGCGCTGACGGTTACATCGATCGATTCGTGGTGAATATCCTGCCTTCATGTCGTTGCCTGTACCATCTTGGAAAGTTCGTACTGCTACAGGATTGAGTGCCAGCACGTGGAATCGAAGGGCGTCGGAAAAACTCTCGCCCACTAGGAATCCAAGGGCGTTGTGAAACTGAAGAAGACGAGTATCTTAGTGTGTCACCAGACCTAACCCCCCCCCCTCCCGAATACTGGGTCCGAGCGGAGCTCAACAGGGTGGTCTATAGGTGATGGAGAAATCAACGATCTCGCTGAACTCGGGCCAATCAAATCACGGTCGGGTGCAGAATCTCTCGATGGCGCTCGTCCAGAGGGCTGTGGCGGAGTGTCATGATAGTGTACAATATGATGTTGGATATGGTGGTGGAAATGCCCCATCAGAATTCGATAAAGTGTAACTTATAGCGGAATGAATGTCAAGGATGAAAAGTGTCTTCTTTTTCGTCCTTTGTCCCCCCCCCCTCCCGTATAGTATAGCGATCGTGAATTTCTGGATGAACTACTGCAAAAGAGTGAACATGATTTGTTATCGGAAATGATCGAGACGAGGACCTCTTCTGTTTTAAAAAGGCAAGGCCACTTGTTTTCACAAGGGTGAGGAAAATGCAGAATTTCGGACCGTATTCGAGTGTCTTTCGGTGCACTGTGTACTGCCAACACCCACAGCTTTCCAATGGCTCTCAAGTATCTCAACTGCGGTAAAATACTGCAGCTAACCGGATCGAGCCAAATCGCGCATACCTAGTCAACAGAGCCTTCTCACCATGTAGTTAACAGTAGATGGACGGACCCACAGTCTTCTACGGATGGTGTGTGACAGGGGCTTGGTTTGGGCGCCATCCTGTTTCCCACCATCATTGTCACTTACTCGCTTCAACAACGAGTGGGGAACGCATTCGCGCCGAGCCAAATAGAGCCTTCTAACAAGCCCCTCAGTTAACAAAACTGTATACCCTTCTGAAGGCGACCCTGCAGAGCACATTGGATTAGGCCGTATGGCATGACATTTGGTTTCGTTCACATGAATGCGTAGGAAAAGCGCAAAATTCAGTGTAGCGAATTCATATGTACTATACGTGCGCAAGAGGTTTAGACACTTCTGCTGGCAACGAGGAGACCACCATACACAAAGGGTTTCTGAGCACATGCGTTACTAACGGTTTTGTCGCGCTGAGGCATATGAGGCCACACCGAATGTCGTGACACACCTCTGTAGGTTATTATAGGATGCTGCGAAATTAAATTCAATGAAGAGTCGTAGAGTAAATTCAAGCAGGGGCAATGCAATTAAAACATATATATTATTGTTGTAGCACTGAATTTCTTTGATTGATCGGAGATAAAAATGCGCAAAAGGGTAGCAAACCTACCAAGACTGCTCGGTTCTCCATGAACGCAATGGATCTCTTCACAGAATTCACCATAATATCCTGGCGAACATGACGGACACCTGGAACCATTTAAGCATTTGGAGCCAAGACCTTGAAGGGCTGAGAATCTGAGGCTTCAGAAGAACAAAACACAACAACTTTTGAATCCTATAGAACGAGTCTGAAAATTAAAAAAGACACACAGGCAAGGAAATCTGTTTGCAGGGTCTGTTTTGTTGTTTCGAGGGGCCATAAGTTTAAATCAGTTTCAATGGAAAACCTTACAAACTGCACTGTTAACCATAATATTTTCAAAATTTTGCACAACGTCCACATCGCAGCTGAGTGGTTTCAGCTTAGAGGGGATTGAGCACATGCTGCAGCAAGCAAAAGAGATCCACGTTTATTTCTGGAAGAGCCGCACCGTTTTATTTCTGAGAGTTACGGTTGTGCTTGTCCGAGCACCGTTGGACCAGCAAGGGATTCACTCCAAGCTTTCCCGCTGTCCAGGCTTTATATTGTGCAAACGCTTGCTACTGCTTAGTGGTAATTCTATGCTCGTCATATGGGCTAAAAGCTGAGGCCCATTGCTGCGACAAGTTGACCTTGCTTGCGTGAAAACTGGAAGTCAGATTTGATTGTCAAATATGAAGACGCCTCCTTGTTGTTTACAATGGCAATTTTCCAGCAATAGCACCAGTGGGCAAGCATTGTTAGCATACAAGGAGCGCCTACGCCTGGGGGAAAGAGCTTTTGGTAATAGAGCAGAATTTTTTTGTCCAGAGTCCCGGAGACATTTTGCATCACGGCGAGACGTTTAACAAGAAATAAATCAATATTTTCGAGGCGATAGCAGAATTTCATACGTAGCGGACATTTGAGTGCTTAATATGGCATTTTGCTGTTCGAACCGCGAGCCACTCATCTAAAAATTGGCCAATGATGACGTGTCATTTTCCTGGTACCGTACTTTCGTTCAAGAGGGGGGGGGAGGGGGAATATCGGTAACCAAAAAGTTGCGAATTTGTACGCCGGCCTCAAGCCTTTCAGGAATACCATCAGAGTGGAAATTACTGTGATAAAAATGTACCAGAAATCCGGCAGCACTAAACGGAATTATTCATTCCTCTTGCCACAGTTGTAATAATCTGGTTTTAGAATGACAATAGCGCAACATGTCCCATTACATTACATTACTGTACAAAACAAATTGATTTTATGGGGCAATTTTGTTGCGGTGCTCTGTTGCGTCTTTCTTCTGGAAACCTCAGGCCTCCTCTTACCAACTACTTACGCGGGGATGCGGCGTTGTTAATGCAACCAACCTCTAATACAGAAATAAATAACCCCAAGTCGAGTTGAGCATGTTCATTTGCCCATGAGCTTTGTGAAAATTGCTGTTTATCACTTGAAAATGAAGCTTGGGTTGTAAAGAAATGAACAAACTTACGATCCATTCCGATAACGTCGAAATGAAGAGCAGTGTTTTTCTTTTTCACAATGTCGGCCTGTATAGTTTTGTTCACATTCACATTCACCATCCACAGGTTCGCCGTGGACGCAACTGAATTCAAAAAAAAATGATTTAATGGAGCTCTATAAAGCTTTGTCGTATGGAAAAGCAGGGTATCCCAAGAGAGTAAGGCATTCAGAAGCAGGGAACCCATGTCGGGCTGAATCAATCTTTTTGCCCAACAAATTTCGCTTACCCACCTTGGAGGTTGACCCTCCCCTACCGCCCCCCCAATGGTCGTTTCTGCCCCCCCCCCA